GTCAACATTTTTGGCTTTGAGAGCCACACGCCATCTCCACCTCATATTTTTCTTTGTTTTTGTCGTGATATATATTTTTAAAAATGTAAAAACTTCTAATCTTGAAAATAGTCTTGCGTATGCTGATCCTTATACTATAGGGAAACGTTGGCGAGTCCCTTAATGATGGGAAGTGCTGAGGTCGTATTTGGAAAAACTGGGATCCTGATGCAGCTACCAGGTCTTCGTGACCCTGAGCTAGCAATTATTCTGCCCTTCTTGGAAAACATAAAAAGTTTCAATAAAATAGAAACTCGGTATTTGAACAAAATGACATTCCCCAGTAAGTGGAAATACGTCTGTATTTCAATGCCTCCCTCCGTCTGGGGGAAAAAAAAAATCCTACAAAGAACCTATCCAATTTCAAAACTGAAATATACAGAGATTAACAAGGACAGAAAAATGGTTTCTTGGAAAGAGAGAAGCCTATCAACTGCCTGCAAAGTTGTAAAAATAAAAAGGTCATTTTGAAAATCTATGTTAAAGTGGTTTCTGGGGAATTTTCTTGACCCACCACATAAGGTCTGAGTAAACCAGGGCTGGGCCATTTGATAAATATTTGCTGAGGGTCCACGAGGCACCAGGGACTGTGGGAGGCACTAGAGTTGAATCATTGAACCCGGCCAGTGAACAGCGCTCAAACTTCAAATTGCCATGTTCCTCATCCAGAGATTTTTTTTTTCAGTAAAAGATTTGATATTTCTATCTTTGGATAGCACTATTCATAAATATTTTGTGTTTTACTTTGGGCACTCAGAGTTTCTGTACAGGGTGGGGCCAACATAGGTTTACAGTTGTTCATATGAAAAATAACACAATAATTAATACATAATAACACAAGGATAAACTCTGTTTCAAATACTTAACATTGGAAGCCTACTTTTGCCCAACACTCTGTGGCTTTTCATTGACATCAGGAAGAATAGGTCAAGAAAATCTATAATAATAAAAGTATAATATGCTAATTAGACCAGATGTGCTTCTGGATGACCTTCCGGACTGTCCTGAGTGCCTGCCACCGGCCAGAGGGAAGCCCTGGTCCCGGGTGCTAGAGGGAAGCCGGTGCTGGCAGCCAGGGGAAGGAAGGCCTACTCTTTTTTAAAATATATTTTTATTGATGTCAGAGAGGAAGGGAGAGGGAGAGAGATAGAAACATCCATGGTGAGAGAGAATCATGGATTGGCTGCCTCCTGCATGCCCCACACTAGGGATCGAGCCCACAACCCAGGCATGTGCCCTCGACCGGAATCGAACCCGGGACCCTTTGGTCCGCAGGCCGATGCTCTATCCACTGAGCCATACCAGCCAAGGCAGGAAGGCCTACTCTTGCATGAATTTCGTGCATCGGGCCTCTAGTGTCTTATAATCCACTAACCACTGTTAAGAACAACTGTATGGGATGAGTACGAGACTTTGGTCAAATATCCTTCATTTGTATAACAGAAATGTACATTTTAAATCATTCAAGTAGTTTATCATATGGAAGGCAGTACATTATAGTGAAAAGAGCACTGTGCTGGGAGTCAAACACCCTGGGTCCCAGTCCTGGCTCTGTCTTTGTCTTTTTTCATGGACAAATCAGCTAATTTTTAAAGAGTAGTTTTCCTACTTGTAAAATGGAATCGCCGCGCTTTCCTGCCTACCCCGAGGCACTTACTGTATCTAAACATCCTGATGTTTACATTTTATAAAGTGTTATAAAGACGACAGCATCATTACAAAGAGTGGACTGAACCGGTTCTTCACTGTCCGCAGATGACTCTGAAATAAATCAAGTATCGTCTTGATCACAGCCCAGATCAATTATCAGCAAGACCTTCTTGTACTTCATTTTAGATGATTAAGAAAAGACATCTCTATTAAAGCTCGTGAGACACTACCCAGAAATTTGCTCTGAGAGAAACATCGTGTATTTTCTGTTAAAATATGATAATGAGCTAAATTTAATCTTCTAGTGAAATGAAGACTTTTGAAGATCAACATTTATTTAAAGAGGTTCAGAAATTAATGGTTGATCCCTTAGCTGCACCATCAGGCTCTACTCACTTTCATCCAAAATGACATCTTTGCCACACAGCCTGCAGAGGAAACCACTGTGAGGGAGAGTCACCCCCTCATGGTTTGGGGCTCAGTTCTATGCTGCACGGTCAGAGGATGGCAATCATATCCCTTGCCCAAATTTCAGAAAGCTCCTCCAAATCTGATCAGCTGGCTTTTCAAATGTGGATTTTTTTTTCTGTGATACTCTCAATTATATTAAAAAAAAAAGCAACCTGGGTTTTTATTTTTTGTCATCATCCTAGTCCAGTCCATTTTAGATCAGAAAGTAGCCAGACTAATATCCCAAGAAGGGTCTCCTTCATTGAATCAGCCTGCAGTGGGAATCTGATGTGAATCTGAGGTACGACCAAGAACGCTATGAGGAGTGAAGGACATGGCCCTGTAAGTCACTTCCTCTAGTTTCCCAGTGGGGCCTGAAAAAGCCTTGAGCCAACTCTGCTTTGTCCAATTCACTTCCAATGCAGTGCAATAAACCAGGCAGGGGCTGGCTGGTGTTGTGTACAATGTTAACTGTCAGTTGCTGTCCTTGATGCCAGCAACCAAGTATCAGCATAACACTAGTAAGGGCAGAAACAGTGACTCCCACTCCTGACACCTTTTGTAAAGGACACGTCTTCATCATGTCTCTAATAGAAAAAAAGAAAAAAAAAGAAGCGCTCATTCTCACACTTTACATTACCATGACTACTGAAGGTCCATTTTTCTGTCCTTCGGCTCCATACCTACCAAATATAGGAGTTGGATGTAGAAAGAAAAAAATGGATACATAAAATCAAAGGCAATCCCCTCAGTGTCATAAGTCTGTGTTTTTATAAGCTGTTTGAATTTATTTGACCAGAGAGCCAACTGCTGGAAATCAGTTATTCCACTGGGTTTTGATTTTTCCCAGACACCTAGAACATGAAAAAGCACCCCATTTCTTAAAACAATTCACTGGCAGGACTGTTGTCCTTTCAAGTTGCCCTTTAGACAGGGATGCAAAGCCAGTCTCCTCCTCTCTCCAACTTTCTCTTATAATACAGTTTTCTGTCTTGAACAGATCAAAGTCAAATAGGAGAGAAACAGTCCAGGTGAAAAGAGATCTGATGTGCCTGTTGATGTCTCATTAACCTTGAGAGTGAACGTAATTGGTGATTGCCTGTCACACAGGCATGGGGGTTTGTTGGGAGGGGGGAAGCCAGTGGAAACATCACCTGGTGGGGGAACCGGAAATACAAAGAGAAGCATCATTTAGTAGATCATGTAGCAAAACATGGGGCAGCTTTCCAACTATCAGGATTGGCTAAATTATAGTTTCCTTAAGCCTGTGATGAAACTACTACGTGTTTCCATGAGAAAGCATTGGGAGCTGTATCTGTCTGTGTGCCAAAATACGTTCACTGAGGTATTGGGGGGGAAATACTTTGATGTTGGAAATGTAATCATGAGAAAAGCAAATATTTTGGGATTAATGTTACGAAGGCTCTGTGATGAGTGAGTATGTGTGATGTGTGTGCCATTAAAAATATCACAAGCCACCCAATGTGGGAATGCCTTGATTCCACCGAGTCCCTAGTCAGATTCCCCTCATTACTAATTACTGATGGATAATACATCAACAGATAGAGGGAGGGAAGTTAGCTTGTCTCTAGGGATAAAGGGTTACCCGTGGAGGAAAAGAGAAGGACAGAGTCTTCCAGGTTCACTGGCTGACTCCTCTTGGGATAAGAAGACGAGCAATCTAACCAGCTTCTAATCCCAGCTCTAGACCAGCGACCCACACAAAAGCAGCCCCTCCCATCCCTCGGCCCTAGGGCTCCATCTGGGACTGGTTCCGGTCTGCCCACCCCAGGGAAGCACCTTAAGTAAACAAGCCCCATAATGCCCCCCAGGGACTCGCATGGAGTAGTCTCACCTATTTTTGCTTTTCCCTCCCAAGGTCTCTGCTTCTCCATCTTTAGTCCCCACTCCTCTGCTTAGGAACTTCCAGAAAGTTATCACTATGAACCTCACTTTTCACACCAGATTCCCACCGCAGGCTGATGCTGGCACAACCTGTTTCTGTGAGAGTCACCCCCTAGCCGGCCGCTTGCTTCCCTGTGCTCTGGTCAGGGCCACACAGCCTGGCGCGTGTCCTCACCCTCTGGCTTTGCCCCTCACCCTCATGCCCAAAGGCGCCCCAAGAAAAGTGGATCCGCGGAATCCCCTCTTTTCCCAAAGAAGTTTCTGCATTTCGAAGGAGAGGAGGTGAAAGATGAAATACCTGTGAATTACAAACATCATTTCCTACCCCAGCAGACAGAGATGGCTCCCTGGCTCCCGGGGAGAGGGCAGCAGGGCAGCCCCCGTCCTTGTGAGGGACCACGCTTCTTTCTG